CTATTTTATACCTTTGAAACTCTAACCAGAAATAAAATCTGTAGTGACAATATATTTAACCACAGAGATTCATAGTTCAAGCTGGAATGTGAAAAAAGATTCTATGATACAGGAGCAGTGTCGACAACCAAAACACTGTTTAGCAAAGATAAGCTCAATTGCTCAGTAATGGTCAGTAAAAAGAAGAAATAATTACCTCTGCCACAAGCAGCTAATTCTAACATGCTATGAGACATCAAAAAGGTAGTTGTTAGTGGTCCAAAAATATTTTTTCACTGGTATTTAAATGGATAATTACTAAATGGTAGATGATTAATGTGGTTCTCGTTCACAGCTCCATTTCTCAAAATTGGTGAATGTGTGTGTGTGTGTGTGTGTGTGTGTGTGTGTGTGTGTGTGTGTGTGCAGGAGGTATGCAGGAACTGGTCCACTAGGTTCAGCAACAAATGACATTAAATAAATCAGAAAAAAGTAAGAAGGAAAGGGAGAGTGTAGGAGGCTTTGACTCAACACATATCAAAAACAGCTGTTCATTTATTGACTAATAATGTTATTTAGTACTAAAAATAACATTTCATAGCTAAAGTGCTATTAAAAACTAAAATTTGCCTAAAATTATCTTAGAAGATAAGCTTTTTTATTTGAAGGGATTTAAAACCAGTTGTCAGAATTACCTGATGACCTTATTCCAGAATGCATCTAATCACAAAGAAAGAATTCTTGATTGGTTCTACTGTATCAGAATTGTTTTTGGCAAGAAATAGGGGAAGATGTTAAGTTTAGAATTATACAGCATACATTTACTACAGAGAGGAAAAACAAATACAGCTGAAAGTTACTGTGGCCTAAGTGGTAAGTAGACCACTCAACTAATTCTAGATATTTGAAAATCTTCATGAAAACATCTTAAGCTTTTTTCCCCCCAAAATCAGTGTCAGGTCGGTTTCCATTACTTCAATGCAGAGTATCGATTTCACTCCTTTCTCTTGCCTCCCATGACCACACATTTGCTGGCTTCTCCTTTGGTACCTGTCTACTAAGCATTCCAAGTTTTGGCCTTGTAGAGCGCTCAGCTTTGGCTCTCTCCTCTCCCCTCTTTCATCCTCGGCTGCTGTTGCAAAGCAGTCTCCCAAAGCCAAACCTCGAGGCCAAACCTCCTACCTGATATAAATTGATGTGAACATACAAAAAAAACCTTCCATGGCACTCCAAAATAAAAACAAAAACCAAAATAAAACAATCTGCTGTCAACCATCTCAATTTAAAAGGTTAATATGTGGAACCCTAAGAAACTCTTGATTAATTAAAATGCTGGCTGAGCAACTGTTTCACTTAATTGAATGTTTTAATTAAATCAAGGTTCAACCACTTTTTAAAAAATACATTAGTACATAGCCCAACTTAGTATGTACACTATTCAGGACACACTAATTTCTGATTCCTAAACTTAGAGCACCTGCAGATCTGAACCATAAATAATTACTGAGTATACTTATACCAGATTTAAATGATACAAGCAATTGGGCTGAATGAGTATTTCCTCCAAGCCTCCCTTGGCATTTACTCAGACTTTAATATATATTTGCATTCTTAAGAAGCATCTTTTATACAAAAGTAAACTTGGGGGGACAAAAATGGTATAGCACACCTGTAAACCCAGCTACACAGGAGGGAGAAGTAGGCTGATGGCTTGAGGTTGGCTTCAGGCAACAGATTGAGACCCTATCTGAAAAACAAACTACAAGGAAATGGAGTTGGGACATGGCTCCAGTATTTGGCTAGAAAGCAGGAAACCCTGAGTTCAACCCCCCAGTATCACAAATAAACAAACAAATAAATAAATAAAAGTAGCTTTGAAGGAAAGATCTAGTATTAATCCTATAGGAGTATAACTTACAAAGGTGTTGAAGGAAAGAGAAATAACCATGCAAACATATAGCAAGCACACAAAACTGCAAGAATAAATGGTTACACTCCTAGGGATCTTACCTGAAACCAAGACTGTCACTGGTTTTGAGAAAAGCTCTGAAATAATTTGTGGCTCCCTATAGTGTTTCAATGAAATCCAGGCAAGTAACTTTATCAAACAGTGTGTAGAACCCACTCACAACCTGCTGGCACACAAGGCGATTGCTTCCTCGGTGCTCACCCAGCTCTCCTTTTCTGCGACATTATACTTCACCAGAATGTGCCATACTGAGAAATTTCTCCAAGGTTATCTGTCTATAACCCGGCAAGTGTTGGCTGCTTTCTGGTCTCAGCAGTGAAGCATGAGTTTTTAGGAAAGTTATGGAAGCCCAGCTAACAGCCTTTTCAACCTGCTGATTTATGTACAGATTTCAGAAGAAAATAAAAATTCTTTTCTTGATGGATGTATATTGCCACTTTATGAAGTATCATGGGTATATAACTGCTACATATTCTCAAATTATTTCTACTTTGCCTCGCAATGGTCATAATCAGATACCAGGTAATTTTCAATATTTACCCAGATACAAATTAAGGTATTCTTCAACTAAGTTGGCTTATATTTCATTGAGCAGCTAGAAAAAATCTGGAAAATTATATCAAACAAAACTAAATCTTATAAAGAAAATATTTTTTATTTCCCCTTCCCTCATTTTTCCTTTCTGCTTTAAAAAAAAAGGATGAATGTCTTTTTTATCAGTGTGCTGAGTCTGGTCAGCTTTGTTGGAAAATTCTGAAATTGTCATGTGCATGATAAAGTCATCAGCTTAATCAAATTTCCTCCATAGTTCATGTGTGTAGCTATCTGAAGTTAACAGGGTGCCAAGGCAATGCCTGAATGTCAAGGACAAGTCAGAGAAATCAAGCATCTCATTTGGAAATAACAATTTAATAGACAAGAAGACATTATCACAGTGAATAAAATATTAAAGCATTGCCTTTATACATTCAACAGCATAGAGAGTTTTGTTATTGTTAGTGTAGTCATACATTTGAAACTCTTTAAAACCAAATTGACTAACTGGCAATGAAAGAAAAGGACCTTCACAATGCAAGGAGACAAAAATTTAGCACTGCAGACATTATTCAATAAGCAAATGTACAGTACCCATATCCAGAGCTTTCTGGACATCTTCTTCCAATGACAATTCACCAATTCACTTAGGATTACATTTCAGACCAAGTGAGCACTTTAAAAAAAATCTTATATAAACCCAAACCACAAAACATCTCTTAAATATTCTATTTACTCAAAGTACAAATGAGTTTCTGAAAATTGTACTCACAATGCTACCTAAACAAGGTTTTATGCAATCATAAGTGTGTTTAGTTATGTCTTGGGCTTAAATGCATTGGACCATATACCACGTACACTTTATCATCACGCTCACCGTGGGTATCCATATTCTCAAAGTTAACAGCTATATAATTAAAATCAACTGCTATTCTAGGTAAGTATCAATTTTTTCTTAGTAAGGAAACTAGAATTGGCCCACTATCACTATTTTGCGCAACAAGTATTTCACCACGAACAAGTTAAAGTAGTCTTAGTAATGCCCTTTTCTTAGAGTTACAAATATTTCGATGTTAATCATCAGCAATAGACTTTAGAGATTTTTTTTTTAAGTTTTTGCCTAGTTTCTGTGAACATTCTGTTCCTCCGATCCTAAACTCTACTAGACAATTTCTTCTCATAAATATATACATTCGACTTCCCTGACATTCTGAAAGGACTTCACCAACTCAAGACACATAGCTTATGCTTGATTTGATGCAGAGTTAAGAACTATTCCAAAACTGGTTTAGGGACAGCAGGGACAGCAATACATTTGTGTTAAGCTGCATTCTCCACCTCCACTTTACTCCCTTGCAGAGCTCCTTCAAGCCAGGCATAAGCTTGGCAGATCTTTGCCTGTTGCTCTGCCTGGACTTCTCCAGCATCTGGCTTCACATATAAGTGTCAACTGTCTTATTCTGGTACAACTCAGCCCAGGACAGCAGACACAGGCTCTCAGCACTATAAGCTGTGAGCAAGAGCATCTCACCGTCTGCCTCTGCTTTCTCTGCCACAATTCAATCTCACATTATTACAGGATCAAGCTAAGTAAGTCCTAATCATCCTAACCAAATTTTTCCAACAATCTTTCAAAAGAACATCTCGATAAACTTACAATGGCTAATTTAAATGGAACTTTGTTCAAGATAAGGGGTGGGATTGGTTGAGCGTGTGGTTAAAAGTAAATCAAAACTAAGGGGTTTGAAAGAAAGACTACAAGGAAGGTTTCCATTAGCAATCGTTGTTCATTCTCCTCAGCTCTTACAGAAGCCTGAGGAGAGAGAAAAATAGACATGGAAGGAAGAGCACGTGTCAAATACAAATGTCCATAGTCTGCCATGACATCTACTACAATGTGAATTCTGCAATGTTTTCCATTTCCCTTCAGTTAGTGGCAAACAGATATTCAGTTGAAACTACCCATGGAAATGACTCATGGCAGGGGAGAATGCCCAGAGGGGACAGGCATCTCAGAGGATCAGCAGGCCTCAGAGTGGTATTATCTTGAGAGAGAAAGCACCTGAAGATGATTTGGGGGTTCCAACACCACACGGGTTATGTGAGATGCACATTTTGCAAGCCTATGGGACTTGAGCAACATTCCTGCAGCATGGTGGAATGTACACAACAGTGAAAAGAAGGGATCTGCTGCCCCTACCTTCTCACGAAGAACTGACCCCTGACCCGGTGCCTGTCTGAAGCTCTGGGAATCTCGTGGCTGTCAGAAAGCCACAGAGGCCGAGCACACACAGTTTTGCTGCTTATTCCTAAGTAAAAACAATATTTTTACTTCCGGCATTCAGGAAAAAAAAAAAACCACTGATTCAACATGTGTTTGGAAAACAGGCCGCAGCCTCTGGCCTGGGGCTTTGCTAATGCCATCAACAGCAACTATGACGAACATAAAGGAAAAGAAACTATCCATACATCCTTCAAACATGGCGGTGTGTACCAAATTTCTTATTTTGCATATTGATTAAGAAGGAAGTGCCATACAGTCCAAAAACTCATGACAAATGCACTGGCAAAAACCATATACCATAAGGATGACAAGGCTGGAAGGGACGAGGCTGACAAAGACAACCCCCAGGGTGACTTTCTTAGACACCAGCAAGTAGATGCCCAAGGGTAAGGAGCTGAAGTAGAGCAAGCCCAACAACCACACCAACACCCGGATTGAGGTCTGAAAGAGCAGGGATGTGCAGTTCCACACAGTCCAGTTATGGGACACGGTGGTGACGGAGTCGAAACTTGCTGGCCTGTAGAATTCAACTACAGGCGCGGAACTCAGGGATGGGGAGCTCTCCCTCTGCACCTCCATGATGGTGATCACCAGACAGTTGGAAGACGTGTGAGAAGGACTGACGAGGGAGGCCAGCCTCTTGGGGGTCAATAGCAGCTCGGTGGGGTTCTCTGGCAGGCACTTCCTCCCTTTGCTTCCACAAGTCAAGTTTACAAGGATGTTGTTGTCATCCGGTAAACTACTAACCTCGTCATCCGGCAGGCATGTCTCAAACCTGCAGAAGGGGCAGACAATCACACCTGGAGGGGAGTCCCCAAAGTCTATGATCTTGTAGAGGCATTTGGCACATACCCTGTGACAGCACTCCAGCACCTTGGGTTTCCTCTGCTTCAGATTGTAGCGATTATAGCAGATCTTGCACTCAAGCTCATCCGACACCTGAGACTCTGTGGCATCTTCAGATGCCAGCTGGCTGGCCATCTTGAATTACATGCACAATCTTTCACTGATGCAGCTGGTTGAAGAACCACATCAATTAAAGTGTCCTTCTGAGTAACATGTCATCTGAATCAGGAAGGGAGGCAAAAGGCTGGAAAAATAGTGAAGGAAACCAGACATCTTCTGGACATTTTCAGCTTCTGCTTATAACTCTGTCTCAAATGTATATTTTAAAGGCCACCCAGAGGATCTGAAAAGGAAAACAAAGAAATTCTAATATAGTGAAAAATTCACTGAAAAGGTATTTCTGAAATATACTTTATGAAATTTCCTGAGCTCCAAAGACTAGAAGCAATAGATTAACTGGCTAAATCCCTTATCTTGTACCCTCCATCCCCAGAACAGAAGTCTCATCGCCATATCTGTTCCAATCCACAGATATGGAAAGGGGAGCAACTACAAATTCTAATAGATATACACTGCTATCAAGCTGTGTCACATATGTGAACAGAAGAGAGCCTCTGGAATCTGCACCAAATTCTGACTTGTATCAGAAACATCAATGTTGGTGAAAACAACAGCCCTTTGGTGGTGTTTACTAACCATCAAAAGAGAGAACCTGAAGGATGAAAGAATAAATTTTCATTCATGAGGAAATGGAAAGACTTGGGAAAAAATTATGTTAAATCAAAGTATGCCAGACCCGAAGAGACATTGGTTGCATGGTTTCCTTCATTTATTATAATTAGAATGTGCCTATAAATCTACAAGTAAACACACTGGGTGATAAAAGACAAGAAAATACACTTGGATATGATAATAGAGGCCTCTAGACATTCATACAGTGAGACCAAAGATGGATTATAACCTAGGAGAGGATCACAAAGGCTCAATAGCTATGAACATATGATCATATAAAAGGATATTTATTGAAATGAACTCCAAGAAATGGAAGCAAGAATTTTTTGCCTTTGTTGCTGTTTTTGTTTTCTGTACCTTTTGTCCTCTGTGTAAGTTTATCTGTTTTGGAGAGGGTAAGGAGAAAGCACAGAAATGGTGGGACAAAGGGTGAATAAATACAGCAATGATATCAGATACTATGTTGAAGATGAACTATACAACTTGTGTGGTGGGGGAGGGGGAGAGACAAACTGGGGAGAGAGCCAGGGAAAGGCTAACACTGTTAAAAAAGAAATGTACTCATGGGGCTGGGAAGGTGGCTCAGTGGTAGAGTGCTTGCCTTGCATGCTTGAGGCCCTGAGTTCGATTCCTCAGCACCACATAAGCAAAAAGAAAAAAGCTGGAAGTGGCGCTGTGGCTCAAGTGGTAGAGCGCTAGCCTTGAGCTGAAGAGCTGAGGAACAGCGCCCAGGCCCAGAGTTCAGGCCCCATGACTGGACCAAAAAAAAAAAAAAAAGAATGTACTCATTATCAACCTTTATAAATAACAAAAACAAAAAGCAACCAAAAAAGATACATTTTCAGAAAGAGTTTTGATGGAGAAGAGAACATGTCTGTGGAGTAGATGGCTCTCAACTTGTTGGTGTAAAGAAGTCTGTTCCATAATCATCTTTGTTTGACTATTCCACTTCAGATTTTTCATTTCACTACAAGCTTGAAGGCCATACTTATGAATACACAGTCATCCAAGGTAGAATGATGCAAATGCCATTTGACATAGCAACAGAAGCAAGTTGAGTCTAATATCCAAGAAAGAGAAGTAAACACAGAGATGAATGCACAGCACATCTCAGTGTTATGAAGAATCACCCAACATGGCTGTCAAGAAATATTCAACATTTACCTACTCACCTGCTTTATTTTCCACAACCTCCTTGTGGTCAGCAGAAAGCAATCTGCCATCCTGATACTCATGACAGTGACATTATTGTCACTGCTTTTGGACAAAGGGCTGAAGGCTGATTTCCTGAACACAGCTATCTATGGTATTAGAGAAACCATTTTCCTTAGCTTTAATAGACAAAACATTTGGTGGTTGTAGATTTGTCTTAAATTATTCTTGCTTGGAAAATAGCAAAATACATTCGAAATTCTGATCACATCCCCCCCCCACAAACAATAATAGCAGAAGACTGTCAAAACATTTCTAAGAAGCAGAGTGCAACTCTGCTAAAATTTAAAATTGCTATGGATCATACTGAATTAACACAGAAGAGGCAGGAGGTAGCTAGTTGGAAAACTTGAAAAATCACAAAGAGCTAAGCTGTGCATACACACTTTTCATTTCTGACTTTTGTTCATTTTTAATTGGGTTCTTACTCTTCGAGAATGCATATTTGAGTATCAGTGGCTAGATGTACACTTGTGGCAAAAGGAATTCAGGCAATAGAATGGTGAGCAGCTAAAAAAATATAGATAGAATTTTTAAAAGTTTATTCTACATGTTTGCATGCAAAAACTGCTAGCATGAACATAACCAAGGTATGAAATCACCTCAGATGCCCCTCAATGGACGAATGGATCAAGAAAATGAGGTACATATACACAATGGAATTTTATTCAACCATTAGAAAGAAGACACTGCATCATTTGAAAAGAAATGAAAGGACCTGGAAAAAAATATGTTAAGTGAAGTAAATCAGGTCCAGCAAGACAAAGGTTAAATGTTTTCTCTCATATATGGAACTAGAATTAGTTTGTAAATATATAAGTAAATACTCTGAGTAGCATGCAAGGGTCCGCAAATTTATTGACTGAAATATGGTAGACTCAGGGGAGAACTCAAACAGTGTAATTCCTTAGGAAAGGCTAAATCAAATGTCAACAAAATAAGCATCAGGAAAAGGGTACTTGAAAGGAGTAGGGTAGGGCCAAGGGGTGGGGGGGGGTAGATGAATAAAGATGAGAAGTGGGGGAAATGTAGTCAAGAATTTCAATGCATATCCTACAAAATTAAGAAAAGTGATGAAGGGGTGGGTTGGGAGGGAGGTGTGAGAATGTTGAAAAGGGTGACATTGATCAAGACACATTGTATTCATAAACTGCTTTGATGAATGGCAACTCCTTTGTACAACAATAGAAAATTTAAAAAATGATAATAGAAAATAATTTTTTAAATGCTAGCAGGAACCAATATCTATGAATGTAGTCTTATACACACACACAGACACAAACATCAACTCTTGGATGCCTTTTCCTTCCATATGACCTAAGCATTTTCTTCATTTCTGACCCAATCCTGTTCAGGATGCACACATTTGTGTGGATGCATCTGGCCCACAGCTGCACAAAGCGGGTGTTGGCTCTTGCCTCCTGTGAGATGCACATCTCCGAGACGATAGCCAAGGGCTGAGAAGGAGCTCCATCCTGGTGACCACACCTGATCCAGCTACTTCGAAGGACAGTCTTTACCTCTCAGGAGAGCATTTCTGGTCCACCTCCTGGAGGGCTCCTGATTACTCCCTGCTGAACCCATTCTCTGAGCAGCCCCACCTGTCAACCTTATAAACCTGCCATTGGTGGGAAGAGAGCATGGTAAATTACCTCTGCAACTTCTTTCCATTCAGTCTCATGCCCTCCCAAGCAAAAGTGTCCCATAGCTGCCAATTCTAGTTGGATAACAGCAGCAGCTGCCCCAGTGCCATGGAAAGCAGTGAACACATGCGTTAATGGCATGAGGAAAAAGAAGACAAAACAGCCAGTGATGATATAACTGGGCAGAGTGACATCAAGAGCCCAGAACGCTAGAGCCAACCCACAGATACGCCAAAATAAAGTCTAAGTGTGAGAGCATGTTGAGCATCAGCATCTGATGGCCAGCTGGTCACATTGCAATTTTCTGACCATGTTCTTAGCCATCAGAGGAGGACTAGCCACAATGCCTACCTGGCAATTCTGAGACCTAATAATTTTTACACCTATACTGAGCTGTTATTTGACCAGAGCTTCTTTCCCACCCCACCCCCACAGGAGGGTAGGGGGAAAGAAAGAGGAATGATGAATTTGAACAAAGTGTATTGTATCCACACATACAAACGTCAAGACAGAAGTCTCATCATGTACAATTTAGCATGTACCAACACAAACAAAATTAGAAATACACCACCAGACCTTTGAACATATAAAACAATGTTGTTATGAGATCCTCATATATGGGCTTCCTGGTAACATGCAAAGAAAATACTAGTTGTTCACTTATCCAATCAAAAAGATGCCTACCTGGGCTGGGAAGGAGGCTCAGTGGTAGAGTGCTTGCCTCACATGCATGAGGTTTGACTCCTCAGCACCACATAAACAGAAAAATCCATAAGTGGCTCAAGTAGTAGAGCACTAGCCTTGAGCTGAAGAGCTCAGGGACAGTGAGCAGGCCCAGAGTTCAAGCCCCACGACCGACCAAAAAAGATGGCTACCCAAGGGTAACAAGTTTGAAAAGAAATGTACTTATTACCTTACTTACGCAACTGTAATCCCTCTGTTCATCACCTTGACGATAAAAAAACAAACAAACAAAGAAGCCTACTCTAGCTGGGTGCTGGTGGTTCATACCTGTAAGTCTAACTACTCAGAGACTGAGATCTGAAGATTGCAGTTCAAGGTCAACCCAGGCAGAAAGTCTGTGAGACCACCAAAAGAATCTGTGGCTCAACAAGGAGAGAGCTAGTCTTGAATAAAACAGCTCAGGGACATCTGTGCGCAGGCCCTGAATTCAAGCTCCGGAACCAGGGAAAGGTGCCCACCTTATTACCAACTCTTAAAAACCCGCTCCGTCAGGTTCAGAGGCTAGCTCCAAGTGGGTGCTGTGGGTAGCCAGACATCAGGCCTTGAGGCCTAGCCACAGTTTTGCAAATGAACCCACAAGGGTCTCTTTCTGGAGTGGCAGACAACAGCATGGTGACTGTTCTTCTCCAGAAGCCAGACAATGAACTGTTATAGGTCTTGAAAAAGATTCATCTGTCATTTTGACTCTAAGGTCCCACAAATACCTGAGTACCCTATATCTTTAAAATAAAACCTTGTGATCAGAGTTGGGTCCTCAAATACACCACTGGCTTTGATCTGCTAATATTGAGAATTTTGCATCTATATTCAGTTAAATTTGGCTCTAGACTTCTTTTCTATTTTATGGAGTTTTGATATTAAATGTGCTTATTTTATAAGTGAATTAGGAATTCTTCAGCTTCTTCTTGGCCAGTTTAAATGCAGGTAAAACGTATTTTTCCAAATACATAAGACTCAGCTGTAATTTTACTGTAATTCTATCACCATTTTCAGTGGT